TTAAGATTGAGTATTTTAATTTTTAAAATAAAAGAAACACGTGTACAAGGGAAAACGTATAAGAAAATAGGAAGAAACGGTGCCCAGTACTGCTTCACTACTATGCCGCTTAGCGCAGCTTAGAAGCTACTGGAGTACGAGAAACCCCATATAGCAAGTTTCAGCTGTTATGCAGTAAAAACAGTATCAATTCTACCAAAGAATTGGCTAGGTCGCTTGAGAATTCAAAGTTGAGAGAAAGAGGTACATTAAGTGTGACAGAATTGGTCGCTTAGCGAACAATCGCAATCGATCTTCCCGTTGCTATGAACGTAATGTGAAGTGACATGTAGTCATCTCGATGCCTTGCCGGAAGCATAAGGAGTTAATCGAAACACGGCGAAACGAGAGCAACGCAGAACAAATAAGCGAAGACAACAGCTAACCAGGGGCGACTGCGGAAAAAAGCAAAAAAGTAGCGACCAATAGTGTAGGATAAAAAGATCGAGAGGCTCCTCAAGAATCGTCGAAGCGTTTACCCTCACCTGCAAGGATCAATCATATCAAAGTGATACAGGTCAGCTGCAATCGTAGCAGTCCTGTCGCTTCAATGAGGAATGAAATAGTCAACAAATGGTCAATAGAAGAGATGCGAAACTTGCATCTATACGTGGGCTGAACGTTGCGTCAACAGCTCCAGATATTAAAGCGAAAGACATAGGGAATATATTTGAACAAAACATTCAATGCTAGTTTATTTAAGGTCGCACCAAATAAATAGAAAGAAGAGCTACAACTACTCCAAGAAAAGTCGAAATTCGGTAGTGAGGATCTTCCTAAACAGCTATGGACAAAGATCGTCGTCGACTATTAGTATTGGTCATGGAATCGATCAACCTGTTCGGAGCTTCAGTGTGGATAAAGAAGGCATCATATCCGGAGAAAGACAGAGACCTACTTCGCAAGACTCAGAAAATCGCTGCACTCTGCATTATACAAGGGTATCATACGATCAGCACCTTTGCAGCATTGACAGTAGATGACACATTAACCCGAAATCTGAAAATCAAAGGAAAAAAGCGTCGACACGAATAAAATAAGCGGAATAGGACACCATAGAGGAGTGACAGCGGAGATAGGCGGCCATTCCAAAAGGAAATCCTGGGATACTGATCAGGAACTTGATCGCGGACATGACACAGCAACTTTCCAAAGTGATTTTTCCGGAGCTGACAACGCTTCGTTGAGGGTTTGTTTTTATTGTCACTTGACAACGGATGACGACGCACGACGCGCCTTACTGGTTTGTTATTTGGCACTTTAAAAAGCCAAAAATGTAGCAAATGGGAAGTTGGAAGCAAGAAGAGCCCGAGATCATGAGTTGAATGGCGGGATACCACTAAAGCATATAACGATTTTTAGCCTTATGTAGCAGCACGGGCGGCTGGAAAGTGACTCAGCGGTTGCGGCAGAATTTTTGCCGTAGATGACAGCTACACATGGGGCATAATGCGTTAGGAGATATCGATAATCCGAAGGGTGACTTCAAATTAATTGAGCCAGTTGATCTTCTTTCATCGACTCGTAACGCTGTGCTTAAAGATTTAGGCTTAGAGGAAAATTCTGAGTAAATATATATAGACTACAATGTTTCGAGTTTCACTGCCGATACTGTCATTAAGCATAGCTTCAGACCAGGTTGATAGAAGCCATTGTTATATATATTTTTTCATGCTTTACGTCCGACGTTTACCTAAGCCGCTAGGTATTTTTTAGATGACACGAGGTGCATCGTTCAAGCTCTTTTAATGATGGCTAAGAGAGTAGCAAGGCCTGCACCCTATAATGAATCAATACAGCTCTCTCTCCCTTGAGCTTGTAAAGGAGAAATGTCTCCTATGCTACCACAAAAGATCAACAACGCTGGAGAAACATATTGCGTAGCTAGGTGGCCGAGCTCGCGTAGCAACCACCAATAGACTCCAGAACCACCGGAACTTATGACTCACTTGGGTAATAGGTTTTTGTCAAGAACTGAAACCTATTGTTGGCGCTTTGGCGTTAAATAGTTTGGGAAAGCAACTAGATTTGTTTTGTTTTGCAGTAAAATTCGCCTTTATCGTATGTCGGTGTTTTCGACATATATTACTTTCTTGTACAAACTTCACGCAGTATCGCTACTTCTTATTTGTTTGGTAAGGTACGTGACCCTAATGTAGCGACTTCTAGCAAAACAATTTAGCTTTCTGCAATTAAACTTGGCATATTTTTCCACTTTCTAATTCTGACTTATAAATTACGATATACACTACTCCATCAAATTTCACTTACTTGCCTGCATGCAGAGCCAAAGAACGTAGGCACAAAAGGGCTTTTACAAGCTTTTTCGAAACTACACATACAAGCTTCTGCCTGAATAAGCAGTTGGATAAATGATACATTTACTAGCAAGAAGTGTCATATATGAGTCGTAGCGAAGTGTTCCCTGGGTTAGTTCCGAGGGTGAGCTTTAAAAACTTCTCAAAATTAATGAAACATATCGTTTACAAAGTTCTATCTTTTTCCTTTAAAGCTGAAGAAATTTAAGCACGTTCTAACCACTTCTAAACCCTATTCAAGGAGATTTCTGTCGTACTTTTTTATATCATCTGCGTTATTTAGTAAGCTCTTCGAATGCTGAAACCTAAGATTATTCTGCAATTACATTGTAGAATCAGAGTTTTACGCAATGGTACTAACACAAATGTTGACGAATATATATTTATGAAGTTCATGTTCTCATTGGACACGGTGATCTAGATTTTACGACCTCTCTTAATGCATTTCCTCTTAAGATGCAGTAGGGAAATGTAATGAAGGGTATTATCTCCTTCTTCGAACGAACCTTCATATTTGATGACAAAAGCATATGTTTCGTACCTAATTAATAAAAATTTATAATGTGGATTGCATACTTATCCAAAGCTATAGCCTTTTGGAAAAGTTCGACATTTTCATTTGTGAGAAAAAAAGGTTTCGCATGGGTGCTTACACCTATGAATTTTCACGTATTCGTTGATAATTTTTTTTGCTTCGACGCTTCCTTATCGTACGAGATTTTACAAACGATAGCATCATAGCAAATAGAGTCCTTACTGCTGGTGGCATAAGCAGTGAACTATAATGAGAGTGAATAGCAGGCTGAATGCAATATAACTGGAACTACTTAGTTTTTCTGCATCCTATGTAAGTAGATTTATTCACCTGACAAACTTACTGTTATTATTAATAACAGGAAAACAGTTCATCGCAGGAAACACACACAGTCTGAATATTAACTCATACAATGATTTATTCTTCCATCGGCCGTCTGTTCTACTGATTACTTTGAATATTCATGTAGTGTTGCTACTGGCAAGAAGTAATACAGCCATGAAAATGTTATAGCGGGTTTAAGGAACGAAAGGGATATTTGCTATTTACAATAAAAAAGCCTGACAGTGCTACGGCGCTACAAATGGCCCTACTTTAATGCCTATGAGGGAAAAAGGCATAGGGGGCGAATAGGGTGCTTCGTAGAGGTCCTGTTATTTTCAAATTTCATGTTTTATTCTATATTTTAGAAGCTGCTGTTGTTTGCCACTCATGGATGACCTCAATAAGCTTGCCACATTCATGTCCGTCATTTCAACTAAGCGCAAAAATAACCTAGACCATATTTTATTACAGAGGTAAACCTCTTTTGCTGGTAAGTGTAGGATCAGATACTAAATATCCGTGTAAAATGTCATGTGATAATGCAGTTCTTTTAGGGTATGTGGGACGAACTGGAAACCAGCAATTTTTTCTAAGTTTTTTTGAACTTGAGGTAATCCACGGTGATCCGGTGTTCACAAATGCATTCAAAGAGCCTACAGTGATAGACGTATCTATATATGCTCGTGTACGTTGTGTAGTCTAAAATAAGGGAAAAAGTGAGTCGCACGAAAGTGGATCCTTATGGAAAGTGAGGGGATCTTTGTTTTGATTAATCTCACCTCTCAGCTGAACTATCAGCAGATTGAGTTAGTTCGAGCGATCCCGAACACACACACAGCTCGAGCTTTTAGCTACTGGCTGTACAAGCGGAAACTCCGGAGCTCTCCGCGCACTACGGAGAGATCGGAGAACAATCCATTTCATCCGCACTCAACCATTTATGTATGTTGACCAATTCAATTATTGCGTGCACAGCCATTTATGCTGTCGATTTTGCTTCGTTACAGTTTTCGAGCCTTCTTTTATTTTGTTTCATCGTTTGTTCAAAAACAACGCTATCTGTTCACGCCCATCTAGAACAAATATTCTCTCGGATACAAGCGAAAGCATGGAGCTGATATGGTGTTGTATTTCGTTAGGCTTAACTGTAGAAAAATATCAGTTGTTTATAGTAGAAGGATTTGTTCGTATTATATGAATATTGATTGTTCTCTCCTTATGGTTATTGCTTTGAGTTCACTGCTGTACAACTGTAGATAGAATAGAAGTTGTAGAGACGAATAGAAAACAGCTATTCAAGTTTATTTGACCAGTCTAGGATCTTTCGTCTCTTGCTTTGTTTACTTCAAGCTTCCAGCTCATTCATGTTCGAATTGCTGCCTCGTTACCTATCGTATTCACCTTAGTCAACGCGATCACTGCTATCATTTGTATCATCAGCAAACGTGGAATAGAAGCCTCACGTTCGAAACTCACTCATGCTATGTACAATCTACAATCGGCTAGCAACTCCCAGTCAGCAACAAAACCCTAATAATAAATATACTAATCATAACTTTCATCTGTTTTGATTGCCGAATGATTCGCAAAGCTATCTCGAACGATGGCTGTCGATCTTCCAGGCTTCGGTGCCACATCAGGGAACTGCTACAGTGACTGTATTGTTATGCTCGATACCTAGACGACGTCATGTCACACGAAGATTTCGTGATCGCTCTCCGAGTGAAGCTTCAGCTCGAAACCGGAGTCGGATCCTGACGAGATGTTGGAGATGGAGAACGAGCGTTTTTTGCGGCTGAAACTCGAACCCGATAGCTGGCGACACTTGTTCTGCCGTTGGCTATAGGCGCTACAGCGTCGACAGCAGGTTGACCTATGAGATTCATACGAAGAATATTAGAAAGGTGACTGATCTTTAGCGGATGTGCGGACGCATGAAGCCATGCTCGATCCCGGCACGCTCGGGCACGGGTTCGAGCACAGCCTCCCACGTTTCGTTGTTGTTAGAGACGCAAACAGAATAGCATGTCAACCTGTCACCGGTACAGGCCTAACACGTACTATACTATTATTACACTTCACGACCATCGTTAGCTACTATCGTATGATTAACGCATCAGTGTCGGCTTGTACAATTTTCGAGCAGCGGCAATTGCAGGCGTATAGCACCGTAAACCACTTCACCCTATCGACACACGTAAGAAAAACACACTTATACAGAGTACGAATACGGACAAAACAACTAATCAGTCAAAGACATCATATCAATAAGTCGTATTAATTAACCATCAATCAATGAACCAGCCAATTACATCAATCAATCAGCCAATCAAGTCTATCTAAGGTACGACAAAGTTCACGGAAACATTTTATATATATATATATATATATATCTATCTATCAGCCGTCCGCGAGCTGCCAGCCAGTGTGCGCAAATATTGTTAACTCATATAACCTTGTTATTGATGGCAAGTATTTATGCATGTTATGTGTAGGGTACTAATAATCATGTTGAATGTTAGGGAAAGTGGAAGGGCACACAGGCGTGTTGACGGTCAGTGGCGTATCTAGCTGTATGTAGTGTTCCCACCTACCGAAGCCCTGTCGACATCGAACAACAACCACTATGACGACGAAAAACCGACATGGTCAAGACCACGCATATGTATTACCGCCGACCCACATGAGAAATAGAACGAGATGGGTAAGTGTCAACCGCAATCAACCATCACCGAAGGTTTTGCAGGACTCCGCCAACTCTGGAAGCCCACACTCATCAAACAATCTTCGGATCTCGAGCAGACAACAATAAGCCAAAACATCGATCATGATCGAAAGTGTGCCACCTTGAAAACAGTCAGCTGAGAGCGATTACCATGACATGTTGTGAAGAATTTGTTTGAAAAATCGAATGCAAAGGCAGAAAAAGAACAACCGAAGAACGTGGGGGACGCCACGAGAAAGATGAAATACCACAGCTCATCCCGAGGAGAGAGGCAACAAAAAATTGCCACCGAGAAGTTCTCGAATGCTACAAAGATGACGATTGAACAATTACCGGGTAGAACACGACACTGACAATAACATATTGCAAAGTTAACATCAGAATTAAACATAAACAAATAAATAAAAAACTTAGACATAAATTAGGCGGACGAACAGCTTAAAATTGATACAGGTTGACGTTAAAGACAAGGGGACATGTGATAAAAACTAGTATTAGGAAAGAAGACGATACCTGCACGAAAAATGTAAAATTCCCACCCAATCTAACGATCGACTATTAAGTTACAGACCATAAACCAGATCTACTCCATAATACCGGCAACACCCAGATCTTTCCAGAAATAGAGAGAGACTCACAGATCCGTTAACGGAGTCCGCCATCAACCTTTCGGGCTTCCAGCAGCTGCAAATCTGTGTATTAAATATATACGGATAATAGATAGATAGCTAATAATTGATCGGACTAGATAATTAACTGGCTTTATTAAACCTCTTTATTCTACTTTAATTTGATTAAGCTAGGTAACTGTATGAAACAAATTATAAAAGGTCAAGATAGCAAACTGCTGGCAAGCCGGGCACCCAAGAATCTTTGGCGGTTTACTTAGCTCATGCGGCCCGGAAGTTAAAACAGGAACACAGAGGATAAAAGGAAAAATCAAACCGGGATGTACTGCTGCTGCACTTCGCCCTGTGTGGTCTTCGCCTATACATCGGCAGGCTGGGGTAGAAAAGGACGTCCTATTCAATTCGTTCGCTGTGCGATTTTTGAAGACTGATGCGTGGGAAACCGTTCTTGGGGTCGGAGGTTGGGGGTGGGGGGTCAGACGGGAAGAAGAGATGGGTGGAGAAGAAAGACGAAAAATTTCAACGCATCCTTGTCTGTGACGATGACCCATCTATTGGCAACGGTACCAGTTGTAACCTTTACTATGTAGTCGTTTTTTGGCACCTCAAACGAATGAATTTCTGGGTTAAACCCTGCTCGGAGGATGCTAAATTAAACCGGATCGTGCTTGCCAACAACAACCTGTATTAGGCAAAACCATGCCATGATAGGGTCACCGGGCACAGGCGAGGTTCGTTGAAATATCGTGCCGCCGAAATGGAGATAGTGCTAGACCTGGCTAATTTTTCTACGATGTACAAGAAAGAATGCTTGTTATAGCTACCAATTATAGTTGTTGTCTCCAATTTAAGAAATGCAGACCTTATTAAACAACAGCAATTATATTATCAAATTGTAATACATCAACTTTATGCTAAGAAAACAGTAACGACAATTTAACAAAGAAGTATGCAATGCATTCGGCATACGTGTACAGTAAATAAAAAGGTGTAAATATCGTCTTAATACCGCTGTACGGGTTTCACATACGATCTGCATGTTTCGAGGTATCGACTGTGCATGTGCAGACGATACTTTCGAGATCATGAAGCTTCCATTAGCAGGTATTTGCTGTACAGACTTTCTGGATATGCACATCTCCAAAGCGTAACGGAGCTTCTTATGTTTTCTCTAATTTTTCAGCACTATTTCCAAGGGAACTTGTTAGAGGAATCAGGGAAGGGGTTAAGGGAGAGCACTAGCAGTGCTACCTTTGCTTTACAGAGTACGAGCTTCGCGAGGAGGAAGTTGTCGACATGGCCGAAGGTGAAACAGGTGTCGACAATGGAGTCGACAATGGGGTTGACGATGGCGTCGCTGAAGGCGTCAGAGTGAGGGGCGATCCGGCAGGGGATGAAGCTGGAGACACTGTTGTATCACTGCTTTCCGATGAACTGAACGAGCTCGAACGAGATATCGAACCAAAGTAGCTGTAGTGAGCAGGAATTACTGAAATAACGAATGATTAGGATAGACGACGTTGAAACCGTAACGGAGTCCGAGTGTAAGAATTAGATGTGTTTGGCGATAGAGAGTGGTGATGGACTAGTTAAGTCACGTTGATTAAAAACGAATCCTGCTGTAACGTACAAATAGTATCTTCAGTATATGCTATATAAGTCTTCCATAGTAAAGCGGAAATGTACAGTCGATAATGAACGGGAACCTCGTTTAATAGGTACTCTGTGATCAATCCCAGTTTGACAACATTACTGGCACGTGCTTTTCAGAGATACATAGGCAAATGGCCATTTAGAATCTTCGACAGAGCTAAATGTATTCAATATTCAAACTATAATTTAGTTAACGAACTCATATATTGCTTGGCATCCATACTTGCATACGTTACCAATATCCGATGGCGTGGGAGGTGAGATAATCTGCGATTTCCGCAGATCCGTTATCGAGTCATGAAGATCAAGGAGCTGCCTAAATAGCTGGTTGTCCTTCTCCATTAGCGAGCCCTGTAATCGATGAGTAGAATAAAGTAATGTGCCTACATTATTATCGAAGTGATATATGAAAATATAAACAAATTCGCCAGTAGGGATTATGATGCGCAAATGTACCGTTTATTGGTCACATACGATGCTACTCTTAATTAGCGAGGCAAGGTAACGTACCGTACCGCTGGAAAATAAGCAAAAAAAAATAGGACTAATTATAATTATACTTGGCAATGAGGAAGCGCGCTGCCAATTTTTGCAGTGTGAAGTAGCAACGTATGTCTGCCACGTCGCAACTTTTATTATAAAGTTTGATTTCGTAATTTATCTCGAAATGAGTCCCGACACGTTGGTTTAAGCGTTCCCTTCAAAACTTCCAGAAATATGATTAGGACACTTGAAGCATGCCTACGATATTCAGATATCGAGCTGGATCCCGCTAACCAAACATCAATAAATAAGACATCACTTATTCAAGCAAAACTAAAAGACAAACTACAACCGGGCCACTATTCAAGGAATGATAAATGCCGGCATGTCAATGACGACAAATTTTGATAACATCATTCTGCCGACTAACGAGTCGTTTCCCATCGTTCGCCCTGTGACCCCTCGCCTTCTCCGGATACGCTTGCAGTATCTTAATGCAATGGGGGGGAATAATTTATTGGTATCTGTTGCGTCGAAGTTATTGCAGATGACCACTTCGTGTAATCCATCATTAAAAACTTATATTCATGCACGCACATACACCGATTCAAGCATGCCACACACGAATACAGGGACAGAAGTGTGTAGATCTCGAAAATACGCTCACACACACATAATGGCGACTGCAATTATCTATTCAACACCATGTAAATAGATATTTCCGTCATGCAGGAGCCGCCACCGCAGCAACGGAAGAAAAAAGAGTGCCAGATGATGACTGGCTGATATTTAACGAAGCAATGAACCGTTGCTGGAAGGCAACAACAGAACAGCAATGCCATAAAGGCGCTTAGACTGGATCTAGGATGCACAAAAAGGTCAGTGCGGCGATGAATCAGTCGTCGCTTAACGAATCTAACAGAAATCAAAAACGTTTGGTCAACGGCTATCAAGCCTGATTAAAGGCGTCCGGAGCGTTTTCGTTGGTATCATATATATTTACATTTCGCTGGAGCATGATATCGACCAGTGGCCAGGTACAGTTGATCGACATTATGGAATCGTCTTCATGTAATTTGTATTCGGAAACAACAGAAGAAGAACGAATACCGTTGATCTAAAATGATCAATATAGCTTCCTGCGTTGCCTATTTTTGTGGAAAATTGTTATTATTAAATGATAGGGCTTTGTACATATACAAATGTGGATATATTTATTATAGACGTTGCTAAAATAAAACAAAACAAAAAATAAAAAGGAGGAGGTCTGATGCTGTTTCTTGCTATTTAGGCATAAGTACTGCAGGTGCAATTTAACAGATTCGCATACAACGGAGCTCAACGAGGCACGAGATGTATTTGGTCGACTATGCCGAGCACGTTGACGCAACGAATCTGTCGAAACAAAAAAAAAGTATGACGTTAAATGACAAAGGTCCGTCGTCTATCTCCGATAGACGTGCTATATATATATATATATATATATATATATATATATATATATCGTGATCGTTCATTTTAGATTTAACATGTATGAATATATTTTGAATAGCTAGGCAAGATAGCTTTTAAATTTCGTTCAAATGACTTCTAACAAAATGTAAGGATAAAAATAGAATGGTACTAATTTTTGCTTCCATATGAAACCGGTTGTCTAAATCTGCGCCGGATTTATAATTCGAATAGGAAAATCCAAATCGACACGTTGATCTATTAATAGACCAATTAAATAGCGCGGTACCGTAGGGCAAATAACACTACCTAGTTCTACCTAAAGTCTTTTACACGGCCGAACTTCGCCTTTTACTCACAGTGCGATGGGCAGCTTTTTCGCTTTGCTTGTGACGCCGGTCTCCGCGACTTCTAATACTTTTCTATACGAACATAACACTAAACCAAAATCTAAATATATTCCTGTTGTTACACGTCCTACTCCCTATGCAACAACAATTAAGTCTTGGCCTCCATAATTACATAATAATAAACGACCTATTACGCCAGGCCGCTGGCTTCGACTACTTCGCGAGTATATGTTGTAAAATAATTCAGTTTAATTACTAAATCTTCCCTTCGCGTCCCCTAGCGAACTACGCTAGCCGAACGAAGTTTTCGTAGTTATTCAAGATCGAACACGGAGAGCATAGCAAGAAAACAAATCGAAAAACTGAAACGTTCATCGGAATAAGTAGGATCAACGGCCAATGCCTCTCGTCCTTGTTACTGTTACCCAGTTGGTTATTTATGCATCGTTTTGTCTCCCATTACACTCACCCTGCTGTGTTTGTTTACAGCGGGTGTAAATGGGTTGTAACTATTTTCTATAGATTTACACACGTTTGTTTTTGTGTCACGTAGGTGATTTCCGTTTTCATCAGCGTATCAACCCAGTGATTTTCTACTGTGTCTACCTCGCATATGTCGACTCTGTTTAGTTACTGTAACATCGAATACTTCATGTGACTTCGGCATAGACATGGCCCTGTGTAGGGTGCAATTCTTGATGAATGCCTCGAAAGCAGCAGTAAAAAAGGCGGTGCGCTTTGATGGCCGTTAGCCTATTTTGTGACGCGGTCAATATATACGTGGATAGTGGAATTCAATTGGCTTGCTTCTTTTTCTGTTATACAGTTCGACGAGGACCGCTATTCCCAGTGGTCGTTCTGTTGATGCTAGAGTCCCTTTCTATAGCCTCCGTTGTCGTACAATGCCTGCTAACGTCGATTTTCCCCTGTCCAGCAAACGCCAATCAAACGGTCATCTAGCGAAGGCTCTATCAGAATTGATAGCTGGCAGCGATGAAGTTAGTCGGTATTTCGAGTCAGTCAATGTAAAGCACCTTCCATGTGCCCCGCACAAATGTTCGCATTTGACAACATTGCCTCCATGCAGACCCTTATTGCAGTAGGGGTAACAGCAGAATTAGACCACAAGGGAGAGAGCTTATTAATGGCCTGGCAAGCGTTGCTATCTTGCTATAGCAACACGAGGAATAATTTAGAATGACTTTCCGTTTTCTGGAGAGTGATGAGCATGTAAGAGTGAAGGAAGACACAGTTAGGCTTATGCCTGCTGCCAGTCATGGAAAGGAGCAAGCCAGTCATCGTACGACTGTGGAAGAAAAAGATTATTGTATTCGGAGTTAGTGTTGAGCTCTATACAGCTCATTGTACAGCCCAAACCTTCCACCCTCACCCGCCCTCCTCTCAAACGTATAGATGTCTTTTTATAAGTACGTGGCAGCATCCTGTCAGACAAAATGAGCTTTTCGGACAATTTTCGATTAAAAAATTGCGAAATATCCCAATGTAAAAATTACTTACTTTTCTTAGCTTTAGAATACCGAATTATCTAAAGAAACAAGCAATGCCTGCCTTGGTATTGAATATTTATTTTTTTCTAGCTAACATTTTTTTTAAAAAACACCCATATAGGCTGTATCTCGAGCTGCCTAAAACTCGTAGCACTCAAGACACATAGAAATCGAAAATATAACATTTACGTAAGTTCAAAAAATCGATATCGGTTTCGTTTTAGAGTATCAGAATCACTACAATGGACTAGTGACAACTTGATCGTAGTATAAACAGATAATAATTAGCGTGGGAAAGTTCAGCACCTGCTGCCGCAAGATAAGTGGAACGCTTTGATAGAATATCAGAGAATAACAACGGCGGGCGCTAATATTTACTTTGGCTAAATCCATTATGGATCCTGGCCAGCAATAATGGATGACAAGTACGTTAATTTTTCGCCAGTTGATTGTCGATCTGTTCAGAAACTCTGAGGCGTTAATTTCCGATACGCACATTGAAAGAGGAATCAACCACCTCGTTTTGGTCTTAACAACCCTGATGGCTGCTAAGTTAAATGTGATACCCCTTCAAAAAGTTGCGGGGCAGGACTTAAATCTGCAGCTGCATGTGCACGTCAATGCGGCCATCTGCCTACAGACATAGTTTATCAAAAAAATAAAGGTCTTCACTCATCTATCTAATGATCGTGTTGAATTGACATTATCGCGTCATGAGTTTTCTACAAATTGCATAATACCTTTTTTCTTTCCACGAATGCCCTCAAATTGACCATGTCACAGCTCACCCACCGGTAGAGAGCTGGCTTTGGCAATTTATTTTTTAGAAATATCAACAATATCCGAAGCTATTATATGAACGACCTCTGTGTCCCAAACGGAAGAACCAGTAAAGAGGGTAAGGCCTTGAATCACTCGCGTAGGTTCGTCCTCGAAGAGCAACAATATAAATGTCTACCTTAAAGTGGTATTCGATTTCTCAGCTTAATCGTTTACGACAGTTTTTAATATGTGTGAAATTTTAACATACTGCGCAAAATTATTTGTTTTTTCAACTAACAAATCAGTTTACTCCATGAAGTATATTTTTGATACAGATTATTTAGTATGTTTTAATCTGCACAGGAATAAATTTTTTACTTGTTCAAATATTGATAATAGGCCGGCCATCATTACTAGTCAATTGCGATTGTTAACATTGCTGCGCGTTAAATCAAAACCATGTGTTCATATATATATATGTATAATATATATCTATATGATTATCCGCAGCTCCTCACAGACGTACGATGTTCCAAATCGAGCGCTATAGAGCGTTCTTAATCCATTCTATAATTGCATCGCGGCATTATCTGAGCATTAACAATATATAACGACCTTGAAGGGGTTCGAAAAATTGTACTTGCCTCTTCTTAGAATCCAACCACTTCAATCTTTTTCTAGCTATTAATATTACCGAGAAGCGCTGGGTGACGTTTGGACCTCATTTCTTTTCAACAGGCGTCACTCTTCATACTATAAGCAGTTATGGTCGTGGGTATGAAATAGACCACTAATA